AATAAATGTTAAGTAATACTAATTGGTGTTATGTGATTAACTAATATGTTTAAATATTAATAATAAGTTAAATAATTTAAATAATTGTTCATTCTCTGTTATAATGTATTGATACTATATTAATATATTGAAGTTTTAACTAATAATTATAATGCTACATTTTATACCATAACAGCGTCAAGGATATCAAGTAATATGTAATTTTATTATTATTCATCTATTTATTAAAAATATTTCATAAGCATATACATATATACAGGAGTATGATTATTTTTTAATAGTTTTTTTAAAGAACAACATTACAACTATAACTTTATGCCGTTCTATGTATAATTATTAAACACATGATTCAAGATATTTGATATCCAATCAAATGTATTTTTATGTATTACAATAATTGTCACACAGCCATTTTACTAACATTACAGAATTTATATTTGCGGTATAAGGAGGACAGTTCATATAATGACACAGATTACTTTGTCCCCACTTGATAAAATAGAAGATCTTTTGTTCTCATGACAAATTCCTATTTTTTTTGTTTCAAAGAAAATGATTTTATTATTTTATTACAAAATTAGTTTAGAATTTAGATAGAATATAATTCTTAACAATTTTCTAATACATTTTATTTGAAGAAGGTTTAATTTAAAAATTGATCAGAAATTTTCATATTTCATTACTAATTCTGAAATTTTTGAAGGTATTGATTCAATTTTTTTTCCTTCTAGACATGTTAGCATAATTCTTATAGCTTTACAAGTAGGTATCACTTTCTCTTGAATTTTATTGAGATGATCTATGAGAAAATCTAACAAAATTCCAGTAAGTTCTGATTTCTCTTTAAGCAATTCTTTATATACTTGTCTGTACATTTTTCTTATTTGATAATGTGTACAATATCCTAATTCTAAATGGATATCCATTCTGCCTCTCCTAATACAGGCAGAATCAAGTTTTTCCACGTGATTTGTAGTCATTATAATAATTGTTCCGCTCGGGAGTGTATGCCCATCTAGACAATTTAGGAAAGCAGCTAAAGTTAGCTTATTACTATTTTTTTTTGAATTTCCATTTTCTGAGCTTTTTAAATATTTAGTAACTTTAGGTTTTTCAAATTCTATTTTGCTTCTGTCAAGTATTATCCTTGATTGTGTATCAACATCTTTTAATACGATTATCTTATTAGACCTTATCAAATTGAAAGCAGAATTGAGCTCACTATCTTTTTTTATATTTCCTAAGTTGAGAAAACAAATATCTCTCCTCAGAGTTGACCTTATTACATTGATTAAAGTCATTTTTCCAGTTTCTGGTGGGTCATAAATTAATATGTCTTTTTTATAAAGCATATCTATGCTTTTGTAATACTTATTATTCTCAATAAAATATTTTATTTCTTTCTTAATTAGATTTTCTTCTGTGTCGTTTAACACAATCTTATCTAATTCTTCGAGATATATTTTATTGAGGACATCCAATTTTTTACTATAATCTTGTACTTTCGCTTTACACCATAAACCTTCTGAGTAAGTATAAATTGAGCAGTACAAATCTTGTTCCATATATTCCCTAATTGTTTCATTGATAAAATGAATGAGATCTTTGATGGTTTTTTGGGAGCCTTTAATTGTTGATATAAATATTGATGGCATTGGCTTAGCTCCTCCTAGTGATAGTTGACGAAATTAATATATTAAGGCAAGAGTTGTAACTATGAAGTTGCAACTCAAGTTGCAATTAAAAAAATAATTGTAACAATTCGCAATGTCGTAATTATGTTGCAATGTTGTAATCATGTCGCAATGTCATAATTATGTCGCAATGTCGTAATTATGTCACAATATCGTAATTATGTCATAATGTCATAATTATGTCGCAATGTCATAATTATGTCGCAATGCCATAATTATATCACAATGCTGTAATTATGTAATTCTACTGTAATATAATTATATATAAAATTAAAAATAATTATAATTATAAAATTTTTA